AGATTTTGGGGAAGAAGTTCTTTTGCAGTATCGAGGTTTAAATCACTGATATCCAGTGGATTGATGTCAATGCCCTTACATTTCATTACCTCTTGTCTCACTTGAGTTGCTACAGCATAGATGTCGAAGAATTCGGACGTGGATGCGTTCATTTTTTCCTTGGATATACAGATTGTCGTGTCTGGTGGCGGAGAGTTGATTGCCGCATTTATGATATCAACCAAAGATATGGAACTGCTATACACTATCTCCGGTTTGGATTGTTGAGGTGGCTGGTGGAACACAAGGTCTTCCTTATAATGGGCCACTAATCGCGCTTTCAGCTTTTGCTTCATGTAGCTTTCTCCAGCATTGCATAGTTTTTCAAAGTCCTTTTTAAACATAGCTAAAAGAATGTTCATGTCGTAGGCCTTGCCGTTATTTATTTCAGTCGTTATGGTCTTTACCAGTTGGTTAAAGGCTTCATCAAAAGGGTTTTCATCAATTGTGGAAGTATCGCGCTGCATGCGTTTAATATTTACTTTGCTGACATAAGAAGCATGACATGCTTTGTGGTATTTCCCTCCTGCTGCTATAAGATCATAATTAACTGATTGAAGTACGTCAAGCAGTTGGTGATCCACTCGTGCTTCTACAGATTCTTTTATGGTGCTACATGCTTCAAAGGTGACAATATTTATAAGATTTCTGTCCTTCTTACGTGTTGCGTTCCTGCAGAACATACACTTCGACCAATCAAATAATGTGCCGCCTCGTTTGCCAACTTTGACATCAACAGGATTATTTGACGTTTTGGATTCTGAAAATTGTAGGTTTTGCTTACTGGTGAATGCTTCGTAACAGGACGAGTGCCACAAAACGTGTTTTCCCTCCACATGACAAAGATCATTAGGTGTGAGGCGTTGCGACACCTAAAAATGTTTAAGAATATTTCAAACGTAGAAAAACGCCGACCAGAAGGCGTTTACGTGGGCGATTTGATTAAGAGACTCGCTGGCTGTGTAATATGTACAATATGGAGCAATAAACAAAACACATGCTATCATACGATACCTCATCTTGTCGTTGCTTAAGTGCAGAAACAACTTTCTCTAGTGAAGAAGGCTTTGCAACACGCAGATTAGCATTACCCGTCTGGCAAAAAATACACTTGTCGAAACAGGTCAGTTTCTTCAATCTTTTAGCTGGTTTTGGAAGGAGCTGCCAGCCATCGTCATCCATCCTTTTGAAATATTTTTGCTGCATATTATTACCTGTGTACAGATTATGTTATGTGAAATAAAAGTTTTGATCTTATTTTATCGCTTTTGACCGACTACAGAAACAAAATAATATTTTTTTTATCAAAAAGTTTTGTTTACAATAATACTACCGGGTGTCCCAAAAAAACCTTGCGCTATTTCATTTCGTGTAAGGTAAAAACTATAAAAACTATTACACTCAAATAAATTGTATTGTATTCAGGAAAGGCTAACTTAGATTTTCATATACAGCCCTAAAAATTTCATTTAATATTACGTGAGATGCAAATGTTTGAATTGGGCGCACGCTTTAAAAATGAGTAAACAAATCGAGAAACATGGCTGATCAAATTTATATGAAAACAATTGCTATTTTCCACAAACATTAACAATTTCAATTTTAGCATTTCAACTCAACTTTAATTTCGGGTAAAGTTCTAGCATAAGTTAGCCTTTCACGTTTCTTAGCAAGCAAAATAAGCATGAAACATTTAAAAACGTTCGAAATCATATTTGATGTCCTTTGGGAGTTCGTATTATTCGGTCTTCGTTCGCCTTTCGACTATGCCTCGATTAACAAAAGATCAAAGAGTTTGGGTTTTATGGTTTCCCGTGCAAGACATTGCATACATGAAAAAGGACGTACTTCTAAGACGAATGAATAAATTGGTTATCCAACAATTATATGTTTTTCATTCGTTTTTTTTGGCCGCAATAAAACTATATATCAAGGTTAAGCAACAACAGGTAGTTTTGGCGAGAAAATATCTCGGTCTATTTTAAGACAAACATTCGCGAGATTTACGTCTGTTTTATCTGAGCAAGACAAACAAACTTTTCATAACAAATGTTGTGTACTGTACAAATGATTTTTTAGCGAAATAAATGGATAACATATAACAAGTCCAAACAAAGATACTGCAAGTATTGTGCGTTTTGTGCAATATTTTTAAAACTCAACTTGGCAATAACCCACTATGGCACTATAGGCTGAATATTGTTTTAAATACAATGAGGAAAACATCCCACGAAGCCATGTATTTTCTTTTTATTATTCTGGCAACTTTTATATCCCAGTGAAATAGTTCCTATCTTAGTTTTCAATTTTTTATGTACAAATATATGAAATATTAATATGCATATTATATTTTCCAAACTTCAGTGTTAAAAACTTACATTTTCACTTTCCGTGGAGATCCTCACCAGCAAAATTACATCGAAAACAAAAAGAAGCAGCACTCTAAGTATCCTTCTTTTAAAAAACAATATTTAAACATGTTAAATAACATTAATATTTTAACTTTGAGATAAACTTGTATGCAAAACGATGTTATTTGTAGCGAAGAGCAAAAAAAAACCGAGCAAAGAGCCTGGGTACGAGTTTACAAAGATGCGCTGATTTTAGCTATTTCTTCAACGTTTTCCAATGGAAATAATTTTTTTTGACGAAATGGGACAGAATACGACCAAAAGCGTCGCAATAAATTATTATAATGTGAATCAAAGCATAAATAACGTCTCAACCGGAATTTAAACGTACAGAAATTGACAGAAAAGCGGATTTTTGACGAAAAGCAGTCACGTGACAAATCATGTGACGTGATTTGTTGCTATATAGTCTAACAAATGTTAAGCACAGACCAACTCTTGATCGTTTGATAGTTTTTAGGGTATTTAGATCACAGAATATAGATTTGAACGGTAAATAGTGCTGTACCCTCGTTTTGATGTTGAGTTTGATGCGAGTACGATAGCGGGTAAAGAACCCCAGATATACGGTTATTGGTACCACAATTCGAGACTACATAGTACCTAGTCTTAAAGAGCACTTATTGTTCTGTAGGAAACTGGTGTCAGACCTTTTCTGTCTGGTCGGTTGAACGAAACCGCCTTTTGCATGGGTCAGCTCCTTGACTATAACCTGTACAAACCACCTCGATCAGGCAGTGTAATCTTCGAATAGTTATACTAACCCAACACGATAACTCGAAGAAATTAAGGAACGTCAGTGGTCAGCTAGCTAAATTCTCATCACTTTAGACATGCTTTCCACTCACTTTTCCAGATTTGAGGTTGAAGATTGTTATTGCCACTCTGTTTTAGGTTTGGGTAGGGGTGAGAGCTGGAGTTTCACTACTTGATATGCTTTCGCCTGGATCTTCAAGTTCGCTGTTCACGGAGAGAATGTTGTCTTGTTGTGACGTAAATATGGTTGCTAAGACACTGCTAGGTAATGAACCATTACTACTTGGTAAAACTGCGTAGAATGATAGAATGGAATCGGTTCCATTTTGTGTGGGCGAGTTCGGCAGTCTTCGAATGTGATCAGCGGTTAAGCCATTCACGTCAGCGCTAAAGGCGAAATGCACATAATCAATGTTTAATGACGAATAAACTGCACTTGCATGGGGCCAAAATCAATTGTTTGAGTGATATGTCTGGTATAACATGCCGGGGGTATAACTTGTCATATAGATATGATCCTATACGCAAACTTTAATAGAAAATTTACTGTGGACGTCATTGTCACATAGTTCAACTTATAATGAGTAGGTGTGGTAAAGAAGCGAATTATAACATCAAGAAAAAATATTCATCTGAAATTTTTTTAGCCACTTGAGAAGCTATGTGCGTCAAACGTATGATTCCGATTAAAAATGTATACTAAAAATAGTATTATCGGAATCTTCCAAGTTACCAGTGTGGCGGATAAGCGCACAATTTCGCAACAATTGTGCAGTTAGTGAAGAAAGCGCCATATTGACGGCTTTGGCCATTAACGTTAATTTCACGGAGGCCTTCACATCTGATATTCATACTTGTGTCAAAATCTACACATCCTGTCAATATGGTGCTTTCTTCTCAAAATGTGCAATACTTATCATTTATAGACCTGGAGCTGAGGGTATCATTTCGCCAAATACCCCGAGCAATCGAGAGCTTACTTACAGCGCTCTGCGTCCCCAGATGGTAATCGATCGTATATCAACAGCAACATAGTCGGGTAGACGTCCTGCTTCATGTATGCCGGCGTGTGTTTCAACAGGACAGTCATTGGTCACTTCAAAGCCCTCTACAGCTTCGGTTTCGTGCCGTTCGTGACTGTTTTGGACAATATCATTGTCTGTATGCAAATCCAGATTGCTGTTTACCTCCAAATTTGCATTTTGACAAATGGTGTTTTGATTTTCAAAATTGTTAAATTCATGTTGTGAAATCGTGTTGTGCCTTCTCCAGTTTTCATCTAATGTCTGCTCTCTTTCGTCATCGATAACCGCTCCGCCGCTTACCCTACCGATACCACGAGTCGATCAGCTGCAGCGTTAATTTTCTCAAGCCTAGCGGCGTGATCTCGCAGGTTTTGGCTCTTCAATCCAAGATGTTCGTATCTTTTCTTGTCCCACAGATCTTTCATGACTTGTATATAGCCTTTCTTTCTGCTGTTCACATGGCATGGCGGGTTTTCCGATTTAAGGAATTCCATCGCTTTCTAATCTTCTTACATTGTAGCAGATCTGTATTCATTTGCTCTGTCCATTTTAATTTCGATCGCTGCTGTCGCAATAATGATAATAATAATAATAACTTTTTATTTTTTTATTTTTTTTTTAATAATAATAATTTAATTGTGTAGAAGCTCGATAAAATTGTACAAAGTTAAGATTAAAATTCAATATATAAAAGAAATATATGTTTTGGTCTATACTGATAATATTAAAAAAATTGTCATTTTGTTCTAATTGTAAAAATTGTCATCTTGTTCTAATAATAATAATAATAATAATAATAATTACAACTTTATTCATCATTTCATTATATACAACAATGCTTTTGTTATCAATGACTATATTATATAATCTGTTCTTTGGGTATAAGTAAAAAAGTGTCTAAGTGTTTGTTGATATGTACAGTTAAATTTTAAAAACAAACTCCGGAACATATACCGCTACATAATTAAAAAATATTTACCGCTAAGTAGCTAAATAACTAAACTAACATATTTCGCTAAATAACTAAACAATTAAACTTTGTATAATATTATACCTCAAATTTAAATTGTCCAATCAGGAAGCTAGATTTGTACCACGTGAGCATGAAATTTATCATCGTATCGCGCTTACGTCATTCGTATTTGGTGCAGCAGGAAATTTCAGTCATATTCACCGGTGAATATGAGTCAAATTCACCGGTGAATATGATTCGCGTAGACCACGCGAGACAACACGCATGACAACAACATGGCCGACAAAGTATAAATAGTATTGATGAGTGATGAATAATCTGGGTAAATGACTGTAAAACCTGGGGCTTTTTCAAAATTTTGAAGTAAATTTTGAAAAATGTTGTCATTAATATTCCAAACGATATGTGATTCGAAAGAAAAGCGACGATACTTGCGTTAATCCGAAACTAAAACATCGTATGTGTCAAGTTTTTATTTCAAGTTTACACGAAGGTATGTGTCAAGTTTTTATTTCTCAACTTGGAGGCTTTTAATTTTCGGTATAAATAACCGTATAATATATCATTTATAGACCCTCCGCTCGGGGGATTCGGCGAAATATTTCCCGAAGTGATGATATTTCCCTCGGGCTTCGCCCTCGGGAAATATCATCACTTCGGGAAATATTTCGCCGAATCCCCCTCGCTCCGGGTCTATAAATGATAATTGTACAATCTAAATTGTTTGAGAGATAGCACTCTCGGCGTTCTCAATGTTAAAATCAATGTTTCTAATATCATACATGATTTTCCTTGCCCTTGAACCCCTCAAGCAGGTAACTGCCGATTTCAATAAAGCGAATGAGGTTCTGGCTCTTATCCAACTCATAGTTGTCGCATAATCTTCTCCTTTCTTTATGGCTACCAACTCTGCCAATCGACTATGGTATCTCACACATTCTTTGCCCATTCCACCTGTGGTGGTGAATACGAGTGGCGTAAATGTTCCTTGCTCTATTTCGAGGACTCGCCTTGCATATAGGCGCTTTTTCTCGTTTTCGTGTATCTTGTAGACTTGGCGTAGCTCCAGGTCCTTGTATACGAATCAGCATTGGGATGACAAACCCTTACATAAAAAAGGCTGATCGTTGACTTTCCCAGAACTCACGCGCACGAATGTCGAGTCTAGCATCAGGTGCTCTGTTGGAGCCTCCATTTAGTTGCTCTCCCGAGATGTCTTGTAGGACAGGCTCAACTTGGACTTCACTACAGACAATGTTGAGGAGTTCCGCTTCCAGATCTCTTAACTCATTGTGGCGCATATAGGCCGTAGGATGAGCATCCAAAAGATGCTTAGAAAACGGATTCCGTTGCACCCCTCGTGTAACTACGTAATTTGCACATGAATAAATAGATAAAAACTTACTTTATCAGAATCCGTTGCTCCCCAAGCGAAACAGGTGCACAATTGGGAGAAAAATCCCTCCAAAGTTTGATATTTTCGCGCTTCGAAATATTCGAACCGCCATTGTTTTGATAGCAAATACGCATGCGCAACTCAGCCAAACTCGCGCTGCGCACGCGCACAACCAACACACATTCTTCGAAGTGGAAACACGCTCAGTTGTGTAAATAAACATGGCTGAAGATATTTATAAAACTCGAATATCCTCATGTTTTATGCATTTTGATGGCGTTACGGAGCAACTTTGCAAAGTTACACGCCAAAGGCTTAAGTAATTTCTTGAGTGTAGGTCAGAATGGGGCAAACTTAAATGTAAACAGCCTGAAATAGCTAAGAAATCGTACGAGAACATCGATGACGGATCCGTCAATTCATACATGGAGAAGAACCTTGACACCATTAACTTAGAATGGAACCATCATATGAAATGCTGGAAGAGATTCGTGGTTCTCACTAGACAAGGTATGGTCATTTTGATAGGTATAATACTGGCGCAATGTGCACAAAATTCTCAGGTTTGGTTTTAAAATATATTGAATTGTGATCAATTAAGTTTATTTTGGGGAAAAAGTAGTTTCTATGCTACAAACATCCAACCTTGTTATTAGCAGATATTTAGTTTAATAATTTATTTTGTTTCACACCAGGTATCTAAGAAGAGAAGAAGAACCCCACTCATGTTGGTCTTCTACGTACAGCTGCCAAGAGAAAGAATGATCAACAGATACTCGTGCAAATTCGGGGGAAAGACTGTATACAGTAGCTCCGGAAATCCGCTATCACAAAGTTTGCTACTGCAATTATGCAATATTTCTCACCAGAGAGACGAAGAAGCAACAAGAGCATCAGTGTACAAGAAGTCTTATGATGTATTCTGTAAGAAAGTAATTGAGATGGAGGTCATCGGAAATAAGCAAATAAAGTATATGAAAGATTTGCTGGAGAAATTTGTTATCATTGCAATGACTGATGAAAAGTTATCCCCAACTTGTGTTCTGTGTACCGAAAATGAGAAATGTTAGTGAGATTGTATATGCGGAAAATTTGGATTCTTCTGAATTGGTTGAGGAACATATGTCAATTAAGGGCCTGTTTATATGGAAGCCGGGCTGGCCCGCTTAGCGAGACAGCCCGATAAGCGGGATGAATTTCTCTTGTGTTTATATGAGAAACTTTCTTCCCGCTTGCCGGGACAATTTTGTTACATTGTATTATTTTGACAGTTGTTAAAAATAGCTTGCGGCGGTATCTTAGTTTGAACTTTCATCCCGGCAACCGGGATAGCCCACTTGTAAATGTTTATATGGAGAAATTTCTATCCCAGTAAGCAAGATCTAGCCTCTTTCAAACGAAATCTCGGCAACCCTATAAAAGGAAGATCATTTTTACTATAAGAATAACTACACAACGAGATCTCGCTTACCGGGCTGTCTCACTTATCAGGCCAGCCCGGCTTCCATATAAACAGGCCCTAAGTCTGAAAATGATGATGAGGACTTTGATGAAGAGAGCTGTACCATTGATGATGATGATGTGAATTCCAACACAGAAACTGAGGGATTCTATACAATGCTGCATTGATTCTTCACCAAAAGGTGCAAGAAATACCAAAACTGAATCTTCGTTGGCCACCATTGGCATCTGATTTGACAATGGATAATATTTCAAATCCGACTATGAGGACTAGACTAGATTTCAAGTCCGTGCAATTTGATCATGATTGAGGTGAAGCAGAGGACTGGATCAAAATGTGAGGACTTGGAATCTAGTCCAGTCCGAATTGGAGGATTTCAAATGACATCTCATACAAATAAATCACTACTTAATTAATTTTGATCCAGTCCAAGGACTGAATTAATTTTAATCCAATCCTAGGACACTACAGGATCAATATACTTCATAAGGTATCTAGTATTATCATGTGAGCAAAATAAAGCAATATGGTTGGCTAATTATTCATGATTTGAGGTGAACAATGATGGTAATGCATGTACTGTACTGTAGGTATTATCAGTGGAGTAGATCAGTATTTATTTACTTATTCGATATTCTCATTCGGATCCACAGTATTTATATTATCAACACATATATCCCTCATGTCTGAGAAGCTAAAATGCACCCTGGTGGAGGAGCTGAAACTTACAGCAACAAATCTATAAGAAAAAGTCAACTAGTATGGACACGAAAAACCAGGCTGAATCGTTCCTTGTTATTCTAGATAGTGGCTAAATACCAACTTATGTCACAATATAAATATAATATATGTAATAGTTCAAATACGAGAAGTATAACTTTACCAGACAAAAGCCAGGACAGCTTATTGCAGAATACATGCAATCTCGTTTTGAGCATGCAAGCCCTTGGCCAGGATCCAATAAGTGGGATTTTATAGCTCTGATGAAAATCTGGGTTCAAAGATGAAAACATTTCTTTCAATTATAGATAGCTATAATGAAATTATGGATTTTATATTTCCTCCCACTTTGTCTTTTTTTAGGCTGAACTTCGAGTTTATATAAATATCCCTTAAAGCCCGGGATGAACTGGGAAACACTGTTGTCATATTATTTGTCTTTCCAATCTTTCGGTATGTCATATTGTCTTATCAGCGTCGGCAAACGGATAAAGAGTGTTTCATAAAATGCTTCTGAATTTGGTAGGCAATACTAATAATTTGCTTTCTGGGAAGGAAACTTTGCGTCTGCAATAAAAGCCAATTAAAAATCACGAATATTTCCGCGACATTGTTTCTTGCGTTTGGCCAAGGCTAAATTTAAGTTTAGCGAAATATTTCATTTGTTCCTTGATCGTGTGAATTGTATGCATAAGTACCTTTTATTCTCCGTCCTGTTTGATACAGCCTTACAGGCGGGTTTTTTACCTCACACAAATTTGTATTGAATTAGGATGTTAATATAAAGAATTAAACTTTAGAACGGCATTTTGAAACAATAGCCTATGAATTGAAGTGATTTAGCATATGAGCAAGCAAAATATACAATGTGTTTTTAACAATATTTAATGTGGATGTGTTTATATTACAAGGTTTGATCAGTATTCCGTGATTTTATTTTGTTGTTTTTGCGGAGGAAATCGGGGAAACCCCCCAGTGAGAATCTATTTTTATAGTCTGCGCGTGCGCAGTGCGAGTTTGGCTGAGTTGCGCATGCGTATTAGCTACCAAAACAATGGCGGTTCGAATATTTCGAAGCGCGAAAATATCAAACTTTGGAGGGATTTTTCTCCCAATTGTGCACCTGTTTCGCTTGGGGAGCAACGGATTCTGATAAAGTAAGTTTTTATCTATTTATTCATGTGAAAATTACGTAGTTACACGAGGGGTGCAACGGAATTGCATCTTTTGGATGCTCATCCTACGGCCTAATAATTACAAAGCCTCCACGTTTACAAAGCCTCCACATAATTTACAAAGCCTCCACATAATTACAAAGCCTCCATAGTAATAATGGAAACTTTATTAATGAATTTTTTTAAGTTACATACAATTGTAAATCTCACTTATATAAGGTAATTCACAATCGTCTACTTGAATCAATAATAACTATACATACACAATATAACAATAATAACAAACAACAAATATATAGTACAATTTTTAAAACGTTACTAGTTCTGGATTTGTTTATTCTTTGTTTCTGCAGCAAAATATATAGTAAGTTGGTCTGATCGCAATCGTCGTCATTCGTCTAAAGCAGTATTTTTGGTGGTTTTTATCGAAGCCAAGATCATTAAGCATATCCATGAAAGTCAAGCATTCTTTTGCAAAAACTCCAAGACTGCTAATTGAAATATTTATAAATTTGACCTTCTCGTAATACTCGCTTTGTTCCCTAATTAATTCTGAGTATTTGGCCTTTTTGCGTTGAACATTCTTTTCGAGATTAGACTCGTACCCAACAGTTAGTTCCACGATATATAAACATCCACTTGAGGTTGACAGCAGCAAATCAGGACGATAACAGTCACCAGTAATGATGGATGGACTTTTGTATCCTGCGAGATCCACATAAAGACATGATCCGCTGACAGTAATAATGGAAACTTTATTTAATTTTCTAAACTTACAACTGCAAATCTCACTATATAAGGTAATTTACAATTGGCAACTAATTGATATATTACTATTAAATGATTTTATAACGCACGATTAAATTTACTCTATTACTCTATATACATACTTATACAATAAATTTTTTAAAGTTTTATCAAGTCCGGATTCAACCAGTTCTTATTTCGACAACAAAAAATGTAGTAGGTTGACCTTATTCCAATATTAATAATCTTTTTAATAACGTATCTTACATGAGCTTTATCTAAATTAAAATGTTCTAACATGTTTATAAAACCAGAAGATTCTTTGTCAAACACACCAAGTGCACTAATCGAAAGGTTGATGAAGTTTACCGCATGATAATTTTTCTTTTGTTCCATAATCATATCTTTATACTTGGAGTATTTCCTGTTAACATTGTTTCTGAGGTTAGTCTCATATCCAACGGTTAATTCCAGAATATGCAGACAATTGTCTTTCGTCAAAATTAGTAAATCAGGCCGATAATCATCACCAGTGATTGTAGAAGGATTAGAGAATAACGACAAATCAGCATAAATGGTCTGGATATGTTCTGATGAAAGGTTATTAGCAATGAAATTTAGAATTGAGTCATGTCTCCAAGTAAATCGATCGAGGTAGAAACTGCAACCAGCGACGACGTGCAATAGAGATTCAGGATTAATGCAGAACGAGCATTCAGAAGACGAGGATAGCCCCCATCTTTGAAGGTTCCTACGGGTTGGAAATAATAATAATAATAATGTAAAATTTATTTATTGATTATTAAGATATATACAACTACAATGATCAACCTCGCTTTACAGGTAGTTTATCAATGTCTACTTGAATTGATACTATATATTCATTGTACAATAATTATTTTAAGAAGGATTATACTAACATTAATTTTGGGTTATCCCACACCTTGTTTCGCTTACAAAATATATAATATGATGTTCGTATGCATATGTTCACGATTTGCTTTTTTTTGTATTTACTATACTTGGCATCACATTTAAGGCTACTTAGCATGCCATCGAAATTTTCAGAAGATCGGCCAAAAACTCCGAGGGTACTCAAGGATAAAGTGACGAACTTGACTTTATCATAATCTGCTTCCTGCTCATTGATTAGATCACGGTACTTTTGACGCTTACGATTGGCGTTAACTTGCAGATTGGATTCATAACCGACTGTAAGCTCGAGGATGTATACACTGTGGGAGTGTTACCACAACACCAAAATCGGTGTAAATTCTTGCAGCTGTGTGGACACCGATTTAGTGTTTACTTACACTCATTTTGGTGTTAAAATACACCTTTTCAGTGTTAAATAGATGCAGCTGTGTGAACACCGAATTGGTGTAAATCTATACTACGAGTGTAAAATAACACCTCCGAAGATCTTTTCACACTCTTTTGGTGTAAATAGCTTGCAGCTGTGTGAACACCGATTTGGTGTAAATCTACACTACGAGCGTAAAATAACACCTCCGAAAGTATTTTTACACTGTTTTGGTGTAAATAGCTTGCAGCTGTGTGGACACCGATTTGGTGCAAATCTACACTACGAGCGTAAAATAACACCTCCGGAGATATTTTTACACTGTTTTGGTGTAAATAGCTTGCAGCTGTGTGGACACCGATTTCGTGTAAATCTACACTACGAGCGTAAAATAACACCTCCGAAGATATTTTTACACTGTTTTGGTGTAAATAGCTTGCAGCTGTGTGGAAACCGATTTCGTGTAAATCTACACTACGAACGTAAAATAACACCTCCGAAGATATTTTTACACTGTTTTGGTGTAAATAGCTTGCAGCTGTGTGAACACCGATTTGGTGTAAATCTACACTACGAGCGTAAAATAACACCTCCGAAGATATTTTTACACTGTTTTGGTGTAAATAGCTTGCAGCTGTGTGGACACCGATTTCGTGTAAATCTACACTACGAACGTAAAATAACACCTCCGAAGCTATTTTTACACTGTTTTGGTGTAAATAGCTTGCAGCTGTGTGGACACCGATTTCGTGTAAATCTACACTACGAACGTAAAATAACACCTCCGAAGATATTTTTACACTGTTTTGGTGTAAATACCTTGCAGCTGTGTGGACACCGATTTCGTGTAAATCTACACTACGAACGTAAAATAACACCTCCGAAGATATTTTTACACTGTTTTGGTGTAAATAGCTTGCAGCTGTGTGGACACCGATTTCGTGTAAATCTACACTACGAGCGTAAAATAACATTTCCGAAGATACTTTTACGCTGTTTTGGTGTAAAGCACCTTGCAGCTGTGTGGACACCAACTGGTGTTAATCTACACTACGAGCGTAAACTAACACCTCCAAAGGTCTTTATACACTGCATTACGTACTTACTGAATACAGCTGTACTGATATGGTTTGTGATGTAAATGTACATCCAATTGACCATTTGCGTAATAGACTAAATTTTGATATCAACAAAAATTTCATTACAGCTTGAAAGAGCATCACAAAATTAGTAATATTCCAAAGTTTCGTTGCAAAATATTGTAAAATACGGAAAATATAGCCTTGCGAAATTTGCAATTTTCAGTCATTTTAGATTACAAATGGAAAATTGACAGCCTCGAAGGGTTTGGGGCTGTCAATTTCCCGTTTGTAATCTAAAATGACTGAAAATTGCAAATTTCGCAAGGCTGTATTTTCCGCATTTTACAACATTTTGCAACGAAACTTTGGAATATTACTAATTTTGTGATGCTCCTTCAAGCTGTGATGAAATTTTTGTCTAGACTTGTTTAGTTCAAAATTTAGTCTATTGCGCAAATGGTCAATTGATGTCTAAAGTAGCTATATTCAATATAAACTTAATGTAATGTAAAAATACCTTTTTGTATAAATGCTGCTTAAGATTGTATGTTATTAACTCAATTTAACTGAATTA